TACGTGTACATAACACAGGATGTCAGCCCTTCACAGCATAATCCTCATCGTGTATGCTTCTCCGACTTCGGCAATTCAGTTAGTTTTGATTTATCTATGACGCGGGAGATTCGTGGGATCCCAGAACATCATCGTTCCATGATTGTTCCGTCAATTTACGCTGCAAAGTTTGGCCAAGTTGATTCCGCAAGATCGTTCTTCACAGATGGATCACTAATAGAGTCGTCCGCTGGTTTTGGTATTTTTAACGAATTTCTTAGCGCCTCTCGAATGCTTCAAGCTCCTTGTTCTGTATATGTTGCTGAGCTGGCGGCAATACATTATACGCTAGAAACGATCGCCTCACTTGCACCAGAACATTATTTTATTTTTACGGATAGTCTCAGTTCTGTCGAGGCTATTCGCTCTATGAGGCCGGTAAAGCACTCCTCGTATTTTCTCATGAAAATACGAGAGCTTTTAAGTGCTTTATCTTTAAGATCTTTTGTCATCACCTTTGCATGGGTCCCATCTCATTGCTCGATTCCGGGCAATGAGATGGCTGACTCACATGCTAAGGTGGGCGCTATGGAAGGCGATATTTACGATCGACAAATCGCCTACGATGAATTTTTCTTCATTTATCATCAACAGTCACTCGTCAGCTGGCAGAATAAGTGGAGTGAAGGGAGTTTGGGACGATGGCTATATTCGATCATCCCTAAGGTGTCGAAGAGTTCTTGGTTCAAGGGGTTGGATGTGGGTCGAGACTTCATTCGTATGATGTCTCGCCTCATGTCCAATCACTATTCGTTAAACGCTCACTTGTTCCGTGTTGGGCTGAAGGACAGCAATCTCTGTGAATGTGGACAAGGTTACCAGGACGCAGATCACATTATTTGGTCTTGTGCTGAGCATCGCGGAGTCAGATCTGAACTGTACGATTCCCTTCGGGCTCGAGGTAGACAACCTAATGTTCCAGTTCGGGATATTTTGGCTAGACGCGATCTGGAGTTTATGAAACTCATATATGTTTACTTTAAGAATATTAACATTAGATTGTAAGTTTTATTAACCTTATATTTAGTTTGTATTTTGTACGTGTGGGTTTTTTTTTATGTTTGTTTTCAAGATGAATAGAAATTAGTTCATGTTTTACGATTAATTAAATATTTGTATCGTAAACCACATTTCAAACCTCCCTCTCCCTTTTCCCATCAAAAAAAATTGTAAATCCCCACTAACCTCGAGACAACCGCGAGTATCCGGTCCAGCTCCTTTAACTTTAAATATAAGAAATCAATAATGTATAACAAAAATGATAACTCGGCTCTGTAAAGTTTATTCGATTGAGCCTGTACAAATAAAGTAATTAATTAAAAAAAAAATAAATTGTAGCACTTCTTCCGAAAATACCCATATTGTAGGATATTTGGCAGTTTTTTTTCCGAATCTGAGAGCCGCCACCTTGGATTTCAAAAATTGTATCGGACATCGATTTTCGGCCTACACGCGTCCTGTACCTAAAATATCCATATCGTAAAAACCAACGGCCACCATCTTGAATTCCAAAATGGCGTCAGAAATCAATTTTCGGGATGTACACGTCGAACCAGTTCCGAAAATATCCATATTATAGGGTTTTTTGACAGTTCTTTTGAAGTCACTGGCCGCCCCTTGGATTTCAAAATGGCGTCGGATATCGATTTTTGGCATCTGCATTTCGTCCCCGTTCCGAAAATATCCATATAATAGGGTATTTGATAGTTTTTCTGAAGCCAATGGCCACCATCTTGGATTCAAAAATGGCATCAGCTCTATTTTCGGGATGTACGCGTAGTACTTGTTCCGAAAATATCAAAATTTTAAAGTTTTTTTTTTTGGATTACAAAATGGTGTCGTAAATATATTATACGGTATATGACAGTTTTTTTTTAGAATTTGAGAGCACATTAGGATTACAAAATGGCGTCGGACATCGATTTTCGGTATCTAGACGTCATCTCGATTCCGAAAATATACATATTGAACAGCGTTGCCAGATATACCGATTTATCGGTATTTATACCGATTTTCAAACTTGATACCGATATACAGATAAGGTTTATCATAATACCGAATTTTGAGTTTTAATACCGATTTATACCGATTTTTTATTAATAACCAAAAGGATTACTGCCTGCCCGCACTGAATTGTCAGAGGAAACTATTGTGAGAGACTTTTATCTCTTTGAAAATTAAAATTTTTGAGCCTGCTCTAAAAAAATGTCATCATCAATAATGTCTAATTCGTGATACTCTTTCGACTAATGCGTCCATTTTCTCGCCGTTTTTGAGTTACCAAGCAGTCGAAAAACAGCTGATGGCTCATCCAGGTGATTTCTGGAAATCGGGAAATACTTTTATTCAGTGGAAAAATAAGTCCATTAAAACGTTAATTTTTGAACTTCCGGAAATTTCTTTAATCTTCCCTTCGAAGTTTATTCCAACTTTCCATAGGAATTTCCGTCCACCTTACCTTGTAAATTATTTTCCGATTCCTTTCGGAAAGCTATTTCAACTTCCCTTGGAAGCTTCTTCTGGCTACGCTCGAAAGGTTCTTCCGTCTTCTTTCGTCAGTTTTTTCAACTTCCCCGGAACTTCAGGAACGCTTCCAGAGGTTTATTGCGATTCCATTAGCTGCAGGAAAACTTCAGGAACTTTTCAGAAGTTCTGAAACTTCAGAATAGTTCGGACTTTGAATATGTTCCGATAAATTAAAGACAGTTTCATTATTTTCTGTTTAAATTCGAGAACCCGGGAAACTCGGGAAGCCCAGCTCCAATGAACTTAAGGAAACTGAAATATTTTGGAAACTTCACAAGTCCAAAGAACTTCAAAGAAATTCAATGGTTTTCAGGATAATTCCATTTGTTTCAGGAGAATTGAGTTAAATGAAATCCGATAAACTCAGGGAATTTCCGAAAACTGCAGTAAAGTTCCAAGAGGTCCAAAAAAATTTGGAAACGTAAGGGATGTTATATAAACATTAGAAAATTGTGAGAACATTTTAAGGGAAGTTCTGTGTTTTTTTATCGGCAGTTTCTAGAACTTAAAAAAAATAAAAAATGTGGGGGTTCAGAGAACTTTTATGCTTGTGTTCATTAATTTAAAAAAGCGGTACAGAAGATCCAGGGACTTTTAAAGAAGATAAGAGATTTTCCGGTAGTTTCATAATAATCAGGGAAGTCTCAAGTACTTCAAGGATGATCAGAGAACTTCAAAACAGCCCCATTAGCTTTAGGAAAATTGCAAAAACTTTCAAGGAGTTCCGAGGAATTATGGGATATTCCGAAGAGCGTGGAATTTTTCCAACTTATTGGAAGGTTTTTCCGAGTTTCTCCCAAATTTCCCTGGAAATGGCTACTACGGGATTGGCTTCCAATTTCCAAACTTTCCATGGATTTTTCCGAAAGTTTCTAAAAGTGTTTGCCAGAAGTTTCTCAATATTTATGTTGGAAGAACTCCATGTTCCGACATTTCTTAGAACTTCCTTCAAACTTCCTCCACAAGATCTTCTTTATTCTTCCTCTGGAAGTTTTGTCGGTACCATTAAGAGACAAATTCAAATATTTCCAAGAAATTTCTTCTGACTTACATCGAAAGTATATGGCAGTATTTCCCACTTTTTCTGAAACCGGAAGCCGACATCTTGGATTTCAAAATGGCTCCAAACATGAATTTGTGGGTTCTACATGTCACTCTCATTCCAAAATACTAATATTGTGGGGGTATTTGATAATATTATTATTTTATTTTTACGAAGTACATTCCTAATAACGCACTAATTCGATTTACGAACCCGGTTGTTTCGTAAATGGAGGATCCAGTGTACTTGAATTTGCAAAAACACATGAAACACAGCGACTGCATATAGCAGAGATCATGGGTTCCCAACATGCCTCTAATAGAAACATAGGGTTGTCTTCCTTGGGCCTCGAGGGTATTCAAAAGTCGCTCTCTGGAGCCGTCATTATCCGTACATTTCCAAACTGCGCGATCGATGTCATCGTAACCGTTTCCACACCGACAGATGTTGCTGTCCACGAGGTTTATTCTATGAAGATGCGCATTTAGCGAGTAGTGGTTGAACATAAGTCTACTCATCACGTGAATGAAGTCACGACTTAAGTCTAAGCCTTTAAACCACGCTCTCAAAGAAACATTAGGAATAATTGAATGTAATCACCGTCCAAGATTTCCTGTGTCCCAATAGGTTTTCCAACTCGAAAGGGTACTCTGACGCACTAAATGGTAAAAATCATCTTGTTAGATTTGCCTGATATACAATTCGCCTTCCTGTGCGCCCACCTTTGCGAGAAAGTCCGCCTTCTCATTGCCTGGGATTGAGCAATGTATAGGGAACCCATACAAGCGCAATCATATATGATCTTTCGACCAGTACACTCATCGGCTCCCTTACCTTTGAAATGAAATAAGGTTTCATCGACCGAATAGCCTCAATCGATCTAAGACTATCCGAAAACATGAAGTAATGGTCTGCGGGTATGTTGGAAATCATCTCCAATGCGAAGTTGATACGGCAGAAATGCGTGAAGACGCTGGATCCAAAAAATCAAATAATGGCTGAAGTTGCAGGCTTTAATCGACCGAGTCACATTAGAAGAGCAGCAAAATAGCTCTATCAGTGGATCAAACAACACTACCGATGTCTTGTTTGTCCACCCCATACAACAAATATTGTCAAATCGTATCGCATCCCATAGCTTTGACACTACAAGTGCCTCTATTGGCATCCCACGAATAACATATAATCGTCTACTCGACCAAAGCAATTGCTGGGAGAGAAGCTTTGTTTATTCACCATCGATTTGCACAAATCGAAACGGGCAACACTTGTTGCATGTTGACATGGTGTTGTGTGTGCTTCAAGCACGGTCACAGCATCTTCTGGAGTAGGAAGGAGACCAATCAAATGCATTCCCAATAATGTTTATCCTGGTTTCCATATAGGTACTTACAGTATAATCTGATTGTTCCATCGGCTTCGCCACGTGGATTCTTGGCTATGCACTTGTAGATACCGTAGTCAGCTTGCTGTACATCACTGATGTGCAACCGCATCACCGCTTTGTACGAAGGTGTTCCAGGAATAGATTCAGTCCTGATGGGAAGGGAGAATTGGTGAGTAGAGTATGTTTTCAGAACTACAGCTGAGTTAAAACAATCAAATAATATTTGCATTTTAACTACTGGACGGTATGTATTTGAAGTTGGAATTAAATATCCAGATTGGAAAATGATGCACTGCTTGGTCGTCGACAATGCAATAACTGAAATTAACTCACTTGTATTTCGTGGAATCATGTATCATTTGATCCTTCTCCAGAGTCCAGTAGTTGAGTGAGGTAGGGTGTGCTTCCGTACTGCACTCCAGCGTAACGTTATAGCCCAAGGGGATGCCAACGAGTTGATGTGACGTCCACAGTATCGGCGGAACTATTGTAATGTACAGTAGAATAAAAAAAAACGATTATCGAGTTATTGACTGCTGTGGCGAATACGTACAACATAAAGTATCAATGAGCCAATACTCACAATCGACACTGACTTTGATCCTTTTGGACACGCTCGGTGGAACGCCATTGGACGCGAGGCAATAGTAGCCTCCCATGTCGTGACGAGTTACCCGCTCCATGGTTAGTGTGTCGCCTTCCCAAGCTTTCACTGCAGCAAAAAAAAAAAAACAATTAAAAACAAATGAAATGTAAACCAACAGTTTTGGCGCAAATTAATATATTACCGGTGAGATTTTTGGAGATGGTGATATTCAAAATATCTTCTCGCCTCCACTTGATCGAAGGGATAGGACTTCCGGTTGCTTTGCACTTGAGAGTTATGTTTGCACCTTCCCGGATGATAACGTCACTCGAGGAAAACGAATCGTCGATATTGGGAGGCACTGGAAGTAAAATATAGTTACTTGTAGAACTAAATAAATCAAATTTTGTTTCAACAGTCAGCCGGTACCGAGTGTAGATATATAATGTTTAAAAAAACGGCTTGTTTCCTTGTCGGGGACTGCGGTCAGTATTTTGATCTATGTCTATGGTGGTATATCCTCGTTTACTTCATGGCGTGTGTTTTGATAATTGTAAGAGTGATCTTCATGATTGATTATCGGCATTATACCTTCGACTTGTTTTTGTGTTTACATATGTATATGAATTATCAAGTGACAACATGGAATTGCACTATTTAGCTTGCAACTATGATGGGCGGACTAATCCAGATTTTTCTAGGTACGGACAAGTCCTTTATCAATAAATCTGCATCGTTTATGCATTACACACTTAGATTGTTATAGTAGAGTAATTTAAAGCGGATTTTTTATTTGGCAAAAATGTCCACCATTGATGCCGCCGTCTCCGCATTCTACGACAACATCTATAAAGTAATCCAAGATACTGTTCCGGTGAAGAGCTTGAGCTTGAGCTTGAGCTTGATTGACCGCCCACGATTGCTACTCTGTTACTGCCAGATCAGCTGTAATTACACAGGTCAAGAAAGGAATGGGAAGGATTGTGTTGACATGACACTCGCTTTGATGGAAGCCGAGAACACCTCTGCACTTCCACGAGGAATCACTGGGATGTTATATAAGAGGGTTGGGTTTGCAGCAGGGTTCGTTTTGGTAAACGATAAGCTGAATTGATGTCCTAACGATCATATAACGCGAAGGAGCTTGCGACTAAACCCACGGTCTTCTGCTCAGTAAGCAAAAACGTTTGCCACTAGGCAGACGAGCACCTTTTTAATCACCGAGTTGCTGTTATTACCATGTAGTCATATTAACAAATAAAACGATTGACGAATCTTGAATGTGGATGGGCCTGAGATTAGACTCATGATGTTCTGCTCAGTAAGCAAAAACGGTTGCTCTAAGGCCACCGAGCCCCTCATATCACATAATACAGTTGCTCAAATTTGTGTATCCATTCAAACCCGGAACCAACGACAACAACGAGTTTCGCAAAATACACGATACACAAGTGATTTTACCATAAATCTCTTTGATATGTAAGGACCTGGGACAGCGTTTTTCTGCTCAGTAAGCAGGCCACTGTAACCGACGATCTTTCAAATCCGAAAACTAAAAACTACGAAAAAGTACTTAGGCCTTCATTAAGTTCCACTTTCACGCGACGTTCAATGACAGGGTACTATCCAGGATTACAACTGAAAAATCCAAATCTGGCCAATGCCCACAAAAGTCCATGCAATAGTCTCATTCCGTGCCTTATGGCAACTTCATGATTCTATTGCGCTCATCTTCTGGCACCACCCAGGGGAGACTTGGTCCTGTACTCAATGCTTACCTTATCTCCATTCCACTCAGCTACTCGCAATTTCTTGTGATATAGTGGGCGGAATATTATTATATGAGACAATTCAATGCAGACGTCTTTCCAAATTTGGCAGATCGACAGGTAATCGGTGAGTTACCACGATAGTTGCTATTCAACAACTCGACAACGTCCCATCGTCAACGCCTGCTATGAGAATTTCCCATTGCATACGTCAACGAAATGACGTCATCGAGCTATCGATCAACTACCCTGGTTATCGCCTGGTATCTTATAGCACGATGCTAGGAGGCGAACCGGAAGAATCGATGAGTTACCTCTCCCCCTACAAGATACTGTTCCGGTGAAGACACGAAAATCTTGTTTGCAATTCCAACAACCTTCATGGAATCCGCAATTGCGTAATCTGCGTAGCCGTCTTATTCCAAAAGGCCTGAGTTCAATCCCAGTCGGCATTTTCTGAGGCATAAAATCTCTGATCACGGGAAGTAAAGCCGTTGTACATATGTATATATAATCGAACATAGTATAATATAATTTTATTGATTTCTTCAATTTTAAATGGATTTACAAAATTTTTGTCTTCACCCAGCTACTCACCGCAAAAAAAAATCAATTTTGTATTTTTTTGGGGATGTAATTCTCAATGCCACCTAAGTTTTTGTCATATACCTCAAGCCAGAGTTTTAAATAAAATTCGATGCACAATTTTGTCAATAAATTGCGATGAATGCTTACTGCCTCCTGCTCCAAAATATGTCCTGATAGTTACAAAAAACATGTTGATACATGCTGCAAATGCTTACACACTTAGAAATTTTTACAGAAACCTGTAAAATTTTATCGAAATCTCAACAGCTGAACGTTCGGTTTGGATTTATTTCATTTCACCACGAAATCATAAATTCGCTCTTTTCATATAGCATTCTTGTCTGCTGCTTGTCATCCACACATGATGAAACAAAAAGTTGGTTTCCCATATAGAAATACCATTGCAGTGGTGAAGGACAATCCCGTTGTTTACGTTGTGTGGCAAAGTTCTTTTTACTTAAATTTGGGTAATTTTGAGTTTTGCATCCCACTCTCACCTTTTGCTGTTGTCAAAAACGGAACGAAAGATTCGACTTTCTCATGACTATCGTTCAATAAGCTACTAGTGAGTATATGAGATATTCTCAAATTTGAGTAAATTAAACTCACGAGTAAGTAATTATTTTTGCCGTAGTCAAACACTGATAAATGAAACTATTCCCATTTTGCTTGAAATTTATTAAATTTGACATTCAACTCAGTTTAATAATATCGAAAGATTAAAATCAGTCCGCATCGTGCTCTCTTGCCGTGCGGATCTATTTGCTTTTTGCTTAAGGAAGTGTTACTACTACCTAAAGCTACAACAAATTTAAACAGCACTTTTCAGTGCTCAACCTGTAAAAAAAAAATTTCTACCTTGTTCAACTCTTATTCCTCTTCGATCCTTGTTTGGACCCTACCCGAGGTAATCCTTCTTGGATATCGATAAGGAAAATTCGATAAGATCCTTCAGATTCTTATAGTAATCTGCTTGGAAGTCGATTTGGATAAAAATTTACTGCCGCCATGGCGCCTAAACGCTTAAGAAAGGGGCAAACTCTTGACCCCCCTTCTGATGAAATTAATTTGAGTAATCAATTTGATTTGCTCACGGATGATGAGAATGATCCATCATACAAGAAAAATTCTAGTAAACTTTCCCGGCTTAATGCCAAGAAGGAAAAGATTCCCCCTATTGTGATAACCACTTCCGATTTTCATGCTCTTCGCATGGAACTTTTGAATTTCGTGAAAGTTAAGTTTTCACTACAAATTGGACGCCAGGGTGAATGCCGTGTATTGTCTGAAATCTTGGACGGATTTAAATGTATTCCCAAGTATCTTACTGAGAAGCAGCACAAATTTTTTACTTACGACACCAAAACTGAACGTGTGTTCAAGGTTGTCATGAAAGGACTGCCCAGTGGTGAATCCCTGGATCAGATCAAAAATGAACTGGCAAAATTAATTGGAGTTGTGCCACTTCAAGTAATCAAAATGAAAATGAAATCCCGTTCTGGCGATTCGCGCAACGGGATTTCTAATGATTTTTATTTAGTTCACTTCAAGTCTAGTGAACTAAACAACCTTAAGGCCTTAGAAAAAGCTAGCCTTATGCTCCATGTCCGAGTGAAGTTGGAACACTTCAGGAAGACTGGAGGAAATTTCCAAAACCTCACTCAGTGCCGTAAGTGCCAGGGATGGGGTCACGGAACTAAAAATTGCTACATGCCAGCTAAATGCATGAATTGTGGTGATTCCTCTCACGCAAAGAACGACTGTCCTGTGAAGGAAGATCCTAAGAAATTTAAATGTTCAAAATGTGGTGAAAACCACAAATCCAATTTTTGGGAATGTAAGACTCGCAAAGCGATCCAACAATCTCGTTCTAACCGTCAGGTAGGAAACGCTCCACGTTTCCGACCAGGTACAAATTCCTCTGCTGTTAACAACGGTCAGCGAGGAACAAATTCTACATTCGTACCCGTAGGTACAAATATCACCCCTGCTACAAATGTTTCATCTGTACCTACTTCCCTCGCTGCTAACAATGTTCAGCGAGTTAATGGAGCTACCTATGCTGCATCGGGTAAAAATCAAAATACTAACCATCGTTCTAACGGAAATTTTGACAATTTTGACTTCTAACTCCATGTTTGATGCTATTCAAACTGGAGTAAAATTTGCAAATAATATTGTCATGACTTTAAAATTCAGTAATGGATTTTAAAGCATTAAATATTCTAAATTGGAATGCTCGATCTCTTAAAGATAATGAAGACGAGCTATTTAACTTTTTGAGAGTTCATAACGTGTATATTGCCGTTATAACTGAAACGTTCCTCAAACCTGACCATAAGGTTAAGAAGGACTCAAATTATTTAATTTATAGAAATGATCGTCTTGATGGACCCTGTGGTGGCGTTGCCATTCATAGACGAATCAAACATAAAAATTTTTCTTCATTTGAAACCAAAGTTTTTGAAACTTTGGGAGTTTCTGTTGAAACAAAATTTGGACAACTTACGTTTATAGCTGCCTATTTGCCATTCCAATGCGTAGGCCAGCAAAAGAATTTTCTCAGAGGGTTACCTCCAGAAACTTACCCGTCATAGGTCTAAATTCTTCATTATTAGTGATTTTAATGCAAAACACCGCTCATGGAATAATGCTCAAAACAATTCCAATGGTGATATTCTGTTTTATGATTGTTCTGCAGGTTATTACACTATTCAATATTCAAACAGTCCAACATGCTTTTCTTCTGCAAGAAATGCATCCACCATTGATTTGGTCTTAACTAATTCATCTCAACTTTGTAGCCAATTGGTTACCCATGTTGACTTCGGTTCTGATCACCTTCCAGTAACTTTTGAAATATCCCAAGAAATAATATCTAATCCCAACAGCTCTACTTTCAATTACCATAGAGCTGATTGGGAGCAATATCGAACATTTATGGAATATAACTTCGATCCAAACATTCCTTTGCAAACCAAAGATGAAATTAATTATGCTCTTG